GCTTCTTTGTAGAACTGAGAAAGAGTGTTCACTGTTGACCAAAAAGTGAGAAGGAAGAAGAGAGAGAGGGAGGTTTGAAAAAGAATGAACCCAAAAAGTAACAAAGAAAATGCGGGAAAGTTGGCAAGCAGACAAAGTACTGTATGAAAAGAACTGATCTTTTGGACAATCTATTGCACACGACCAACGAGGCACCGAATTTTACTTTTTTTACTCTCTGTCCCACGAGATTGGACTTTAAAATTTTTCTTAAAATGTTTATTATTTTAAAAAATAAAAAATGTTAATTATTCTTAATAATATTTGTTTGTTATTATTTCATTTTATAAATAAAGATTGTTAATTTTACACGCAATTTTTTTCTGTCATAATAATTTGTTTAATTAACATTTTTTTTTTATATAAAATTCGCATTATATTAAATCACAAATGACATCCCATGAAGATTGATGAAGACATAATGAGAAATTAGACTAATTCATCGCAACAAAGATTTTCTTAATATCAATTTTTTAGACTTTATTTAAGTAATTAAAAATAATATGAATTATTAAAGTTAATCATTTTTAAATTTTGATGGCCTAATAGAAAAGACATGATTTGAGTATGATTTATTTACCACTTTCGTTGTCCTTTTTTCAAGACTTGAGTCTAATTTATAAGTAGGGATGACAATGGAACTTCATGGGGATGGGTAATAGTAAATTTGTCTTTGTCTCGTTAGATGAAAATTGGTCTCATACTCATCACGTATCCGCGCGAGTATCCATTAAGCGGGTATCCATGAATTTTTTCAATAAAAATGGCTATTAATGAATATTTATAAATTTTTAAAAAATTAAAAAAATTATATTACAAATAATTTTAACTTTATATTTAATACATTGAAATATTAAAAATAAAATTTTAATGTTAATTTTAAACTTTTATTTAACGTTAATTTTGTTGAAATAATAATAAAAATGCAAGATAATCAATAACTTAAAATATATCAATCTCACAAGTAAGTCAAACACTACTAAAAAAATTAAAATTTGTGACAAAAATTTGTGACGGATAAAATGTCGTCACTAACAGTGACGACTTTTGTGACGAAAATTTTATTTTTGTGACGGACTAGTTATTTTTAGAGTTTGTGACGGATTTTGTAATGGAAAAATTTCCGTCTCTAACAATTCCGTCATAAACAGGGTCACTAATAATAATAAAAAATTTTGCGACGAATTTAGTGACGGATTTTGATTCCTCTCTAAATATTTTGTCACAAAAATCCGTCACAAAATTATTCATTAAAAATTTTGTGACGGATTCTGTGATGGAAAATTTTTAAAAATTGTATTCTGTCACAAATTTCGTCACAATATGTGAGGGACTATGTATCCCTCTCAAAATCGAAAATTTTATTGTACAATTATTATATTTAAGAATTATGTATAAATAAAAAATATTTTGCTAAAAAAATAATTAAAAAATTATGAAACTAAAATATTTTTTTCATCAAAAGATTAAAAATTAAAACATAAGAAATGAATTAATTTAAATAATAAGTTGTCATTTTGAAGTATAAGAAATTAAAATATGAATTAGGAAAAAACTTTTAATTTTGAAATTATAAAAAGACAATATTATTTTGCATTTTAATTAAAAAAGCTAAAAATAAATATATAAAAGTATATTTATAAATTATATATAATTATATATAACTATATATATATATATACATACAGTTATATATAATTTATTGTGCTTGATCATTTAATAAAAAGTACAATAAATCTATCAATAAATATATAAAAATATTATCATCATACTTTATAATACACTTAAATGAAATAATTTAATATATGTTATAAAATTAATAAAAGGTGAAAAAAAAATATATATATCTATAACATTATATAAAAGGAATACTTCAGTTTGGTCTCCACAATTTACCCTTTAACAATTTATTATTCCGGTACTTAAATTGGGTGGTTACTTGGGACATAAATGGAAAATTAAAAATTTTGATATTAACTAACTTCTCCCGCATTTTATAAATTTGTAACTGCATGTTTTTTTCGATCTTCTGTCTTTTGTAATTGTAACTGCATATTCTATTCATTACCTTCTCATTTGCAGGAACTGTGAAGTAAATCGGGTTTCTCGCCTTACTTGATCCTACTGTGTTCAGTTTACATACGATACGACAAGAATCACTTCAAGGTTGGTTATAAGTTTTTATTTTGATTTCCTGATTTTTGCATTCTACCAGAATCCTATAATTTTCCATTACTTTTACCGACAATAAATAGGAAAATTTTGCAGGCCGAAACCGGGGGACCCGAGAGGATCAAGAGCCATCCTTTCCTTTGGTCTCCTTTTAAGTCATTCTTACTATTTCTATTTTTCAAACAAAGAAGAATAATAATCAAACCCCAATTCAATTTTATTTTTTTAAATTCATTTAATTATTTTTAAAAATTCTAAGCCGAAAGATTCTATTATGGTTTCATATCTATCACTTTCGTAGTAACAGCACCCAACAAGAGAGACAGAGAAAAAACGTGTTGGTGGCGTCAAAGCATGTATGTAATCTATTCATTACAATTTTTCTCGCTCCTCTTAAACGGTACTACTTTCGAATCTAAGTTATATATTTGTCATTGTTTTTTTTTGTAAATTTTCAAACTTCGTCAAAATCTTATGTAACCATACTTTGAAACTTCTTTCCACCATACATTTTATTTCTTTATCTTAATTTTGTGTGTTTGTTGTCAGATGTTATTTTAAATTTAAGTTTTATTTTCATCAATTTTTCTGTAGAATCGTGTGTTTTATTTTGTGATTTCGTCTTAGTTGAGAAGGTATTTATGTTAACTATCATTTTTTCCTTTATTTTTCTTTTCATTTTATTCTTTTATTTTTTTTAATTTTCTTTGATGGTTATTTCTTGAATAGAAGTTAGTAAATGGGTCTTGCAAAGGTAGTCATGTGGATGATGAAAACTACAATAACACATAATGCCAAGACGTTGTAATTCCCTACCAACTACCCTCTAACATATTGTACTACTCTTTGTTTTGTACAATAGTCACTTTCCTCACGATTTTTCATTTTCATTTGCTTCCAATGCAATTTCACAATCTTTTTAATGGAAAAAAATTTTAAAGGGTGAATGAACAAAGGTGTAAACTATTACTATAATGAAATCATTTAACATCATATTTTCCTTCTCTAATTTGTATGCTTATTTTCAGTTACTCACTTGAAGATTATAAATTTTAAATTTTAAAATTAAAGTTTAAAGTTTAAAATGTAAAATTTAAAATCTAAAATCTAGAATTTAAAAATTAAAAATTAAAATTAAAAATCTAAAATTTCAAATTTATATTTCAAATTTTAAAAGTTAAAATTTATAATTTGTAATTTAAAATTTGGAATTTAAAATTTAAAATTTAAAATTTAAAATTCAAAA